AACAATAATTATTATCAATGCTAAAATATTCAATGTCGATATTGTTGCCATCACTATCATCACCTCATTTATCATTAGTACGATACATAAGCCGACGAAATAATTTTCGACGAAATGAACTTTCGACGAAATGATTGTCGACGAAATGATTGTCGATGAAGTGATGGTCGACGAAACAATTTTCGACGAAATGAACTTTCGACGAAATGGGTGTCGACGAAATGATTTTCGACGAAGTAAACGGGACCGGTATAGGTATATTTCAAAAAAAGAACCTTTCTGTATATAGGATATTCCTTTTTTTTTTATTAAATAATTTTGTTTTCATATTTTGTCTTAATCGTATGTCTTAAATTGGTTGTGCTTATAATCATTTCATCAACATTCATTATATTTAAGTTTATTTTGATTATATAAAGAGATATTGTCCGTGGAAAGAGAGTTACTCTTTTGTATTATGGCAACTATTGCAAATTTCGTCGATTCTACAATTAAATTGATTAAAATTTGATATTAATATCAAATTAAAGACATTCAATTATTCATCTTTTTTGTTAGTATTTTTCTTCATAATCTTTAACAAAGACAGTAAATTTGTCCATTTTATTGATTAATATTAAAGAAAATTTTAATAATATAGTTATAAAGGAATGTTAGTCTTGGTAAATTTTTTTTATTTTTTGAGATTTTTATATGTTTTCACGACCAATTAACTTAACATTTATTTTCTATCATTAAAAAAATCTAAAGTATTTTTTTGAAAATGTGAAGATTCTTTATGATATTGATTTGGCTTCATTAAAAAAGATAGGATAATTCATAATTATTTTTTTATTGTTAAAGAAATCAACAAAATCTCTTTAAAAAGTAAAAATCAATTGTCTTTTTTGAAAATGTAAAGATTCTTTGATGTCGGTTTTTGGCTCCATTAAAAAACAGTAATATATTTTTTTATTATCAAAGAAATTTTTTGAAAATGTAAAGATTCTTTATGATATCGATTTTTGGCTCCATTAAAAAACAGGATGGTTCATAAGTCGCTGGTGCTATGATATGCTCTTTGACTATATAAATTTTTGGTTTAGAGATACGAGTTAGTATGTTTATAAGTTTATCTCCATTTCTAACAATGATAGAACTAAAGAAAGTTACTTCCAAGGCAGATCTGAAGAAAGAAAACGATCTTGTAGCCCAATTTCAAGGGAAAAAAGTCATGCAATTGTGATAAGGACACAGAGAAACAAAATGGTAATTTCTAGTTTGAACAAATATTCATTTTTTATTATCAATGTATGTTGGTTTTAAACTTTTCTCATTTGCTATTATAGTCAATAATGGTTTGTTGAATACACTGATAAGTAAGAAACAGATAATTATTGAAGGCATTAATGATATTAAAGCAAAACTTGTTGAAAATGATAAAAAACTGGACCAGTCTTTAAGCATTTCCAATAATTATGTGGAAAAAGTGACAATTAATAAAAAGAAAACTAGAGATGGTTTTATTGTAAGTATTATAAAGTTTCTTTTTGTAAAGATTTTATAACAAAAATAATTACACATATAATTGGTAGGATGAAGTTAATTCTATTGTGCAAGATGTCTTTGACATATTAATAATACTTTACATAGCTCTTATTAATAATTCATACACTATGTTTGCTGTGTGAAACAAAGAGTATTTCTCATCTCTCACCTTTTAATGATAACTGAAAAAAAATCAAATGAAGGAATGGGAAAACGGTGCTAAAGCTAAAATGGCATATGATGAATTGCTGATCCATATAATGATTAATCAATCAGACACACTTATGTTTGCAAAAATAATTAAAGCAACATTTACTAACAATGAGTAAACTGCTCTAATACGCTATGGATTCAAGCCATTTTGGAAATAATCTTTGACCTGGAATACCTGTCACCAAAACTTGAAGGCACTTGCACTATTCCAGAAACAGCAGGATGCATAATATTATCATTTATTTATATAGTGGCTAAAAAAAAATAATGTAATACCTACTTAACTATTAATAATACATGTTTTAAGAAATATTTAACAAAATGTAAAATTAAATCACTTCGGCTATTTCGATTCGCATTATAAATTAAATAATAATGTGTTTGGAAAGTCGATTCGCATACATTAATATGATTTGTCATTTAATTGTGAATTTGAAATTTAAGGGTTGTTTCACGCGCGTGAATTTCAAATTAACGCAGATCTTAAATTCACGCACAAACAGTTACATTACATAATAATACAAACCGAATTTTTATACGTAAATTCCTTGCTGCGAATTATATTAATATTTACAAAATTTATTATTATATTGTTTCAGGAATGAAAACAAGTATCTTGATCCCGAAACCTTGAGCATATTTTTGATATTAATAATATTAATAATTTTTATTTTTGGTAAAAAAGATTTGTAACAAGGAAATCTTTAACAAAACTTTTAAACCAAAATGAAATCAACTATAGTTATCGTTCAAACTATTATCAATAACACATCATCATCATCATCCAACAAATTAAAAAAAAATTGATGACAAATTGGATTCATAACATGAAATTTATAATTACAAATTATCATGCAAGACATTTAAAATCTAATCTTTACAAAATTGGTTTTGTATATAACATTTTAATTTGTAAAATCGCAATTCCGTATTCGTAAATATTGATACATCGTAACAATAATAATGATATCACAACACCGAGCCAATAAAAATTGTAATCCAAAGGTAAAAGGTTTTTTCCCAAAAAGATCTCTCAAAAAGTGAGAGATGCATTCTCGGAAGAAGTGCCCGGACCTCACTTTTCATTAATTGTGCAAAAGTTTGCATAATAAATATATTGTTTACATATAAATCATCATAATGTTAAATAGCTTAAGTCCTAATGAAAATAAATGCACGTAAATTTTTATGTTCTACCGTTCAATTTAATTCTTCAAATTTTATTATTCTGTTTGTCCATCCATTATTGAATATACATGCTTAGCACGCCTTCGATTAATTTATTATAGATCTATTGAGAAGTTCCTCTTGCGAGGCCAACCCTCATCAACATCAACTGAATATAATATCTTTTTATGTATTTATAAAATTATTATAAAAAATCCGATTTTTGAATTCGATGCTTTTTTTTTATCGTAATAAAAGCTTCTTTTATATTTTTGATGATATTATTTTTATTGTTATATCACTTACAAAAAAACCAGTTTTGTATGATGATAATTATGAAATTTTTTTTGCTTCCTTGGGTATTCAATTGAAAACCTCTTGTCAATAACACCTTCATCAATGTAACTGAAAGACCTGAAAATGCAACAAATTATAAAAAAAAAGAAGAAATGGAAGAAGTTGAACGATAACTATAATTGATTGCGTTTTGGAAGTTTGAATAGCGAATATGTATTGTTCGTTTCCAAACAGCATTATAACAACATTATAACAATTCAGGCTTTAGGTTATCTTAAACAGAAAAGAAAACAGAGGCTTATTTTGAATATTTTGTTTTTATTATTAGTATAATTACAATTAAAAATTATTTTTAAAATCTAAATCTATTTATAATATTTATATATTTATATTTATATTTATAATTTATTTTATTAATAGTAATATTAATAAATCCTATTATTACAAATCTTTTTAAAAATCAAAATAACTTTTTGGTTCCTCTTCTTCCTCTTCGGTATTATATTCATTATCGCTTAATTTATTATCATTATCATTCTTATTACTATTATTATTACGATTCTTCCCAATCACGCCAAATAAAAATCTTCTTGGTGATTTTGCCATTTCTATTTCTTTGTTTTCACTAGGTACAAAACTTAATAAAGGTTGTATATTTGTATTTCTTAACGCTAATGTATGTTGCGCATCAAGTTTAAGATCTATTTCTAATAATTTCTTGCCATTATTATTCGATGGCGATTGCGTAGTTGATAATTGTGATTGCGATGATGATGGTGGTGATGGTATATCAAGAGTTAATAATGTTCCTCCTCCACCACCGACTGTTTTCATTGATTTTTTACTAAGTTTCTTTTCTTGATTTTCTTCAAGTAACGACCCTTTATTAAATTTTATTCCTTCATCAATATGAATCAATTGATCAGTCATGTTATTATTATTAGCGCTACCATTACCAAAACTAGCACCATCTGTGTTATTAGTTGACGATGATTCAACAATTTCTCGATTTTTATCTAATAAAGAACCTTTATTAAATTTTATAGATTCACCAATATTAATGTACGTGATATTATTCATTGAATCTTTTACATATCCTGATCCATTTAATGCTCTACGCATTTTTTCTCGTTCTTTAACTTCTTCAAGTAAAGCTTCATTTGTATCCAACAATGATCCTTTAACAAATGATACTTGATCATTTTGTTGTTGTTGATTTAGTTGTTTATATGTTGATGTTAGTGGTGATGATAGTTGTTGTTGGCTTTTTTCATTTGAATCTAATAATGATCCCTTGATAAATGATACTTGGTCATTTTGTTGTTGATTTTGTAGCTGTGATAATAAAGGCGGTTGAATTTTTTCATTAGAATCTAATAATGATCCTTTAATAAATGTGATTTGTTCAATTTGTTGTGTCAATGGTGTTTGTGGTGATGATGATGGACTAATAGTGGTAGTACTAGAAGCATTTGGTGCTGATAAATTTTTATCACTAGAACCCAGTAAAGAACCTTCTTTAAACATTACTTCAGAATTAGGTTTTCCAAGATGATTACTGCGAACGTTTTGTTGTTGCTGAAAAGACTGTGATAATGATGAATCTGATTTTTCAGTAATTATTTTATCCTAAAATTCAAATAGAAGATTATTAGGATTATGAATGTCGATATTTGATATTTGATATGCTATTTTTAAATAAGCAAATAAAATTTCTTGTAAATTTTACATACTTTATTACTATCATCTTTAAAGCCCATTTTTAAGAACAATTCGGGATTTTCAGCAAGCATCAAATTATTCTGCAAAAAAAAAAAATAAAGATATATATATTAATATATTATTAATATATACATAGTCCAAGTATACACAAAAGAAAGAAAAAAATAGTTTACCTTAGCAGTACTAATACTTAATACCCAATCTTTCATTTTATCGTAATGATCAGCACATAAATATTTAATATAATCATTTTCAGGATTTTCAAACATTGTTATTTTATCTTGAGATTTTAATGCAAAAACAAATTTTGTTGGTGGTTTCCTGTTACACGATTTTACTAGCGAATAAACGTCGAAATTTGCCATTGTACATAAAAAATTGTCACTGGTTTTTGATTTAGTATCTTTGCCATTATTATTGTAATATAAAGAACCATCTTTAACATGAAAATATCTTTTTTGCCATTTATTTTTCTTTACTTCCATATGTAAGAAACCAAACATTGGCGGAACAGCGTTATTGAACCCATCAATTGTTAATGCATTTCTATATGGATATTTCTTTAGAGCAAATGCATACTTTCTATCATAATCCCAAGTTTCAATAATTCTTGATAAATATTCCCAATCCCTTATTGGACGTTCTATTTAAAAAGTGGTTGAATATATGTGAGCAAAGACTATATATATATAAAAATAAATTTAGAAATTTAAAAAACTTACCTAATCCAAATTCATTAATTAGTTCAAATATTGTCCATGAATCATCATCACTAATTGATTGATTATTACGCAATGAATTCAATACATCCAAAGCTGTCATTTCAGATGTTAGTGATATTTTTTTGGATTGATGTGTTTCTTCAATATATATTTGTGCTGTAAGCTGCTAATAATATTAATAAATTAATTCAATTAGATTATTTATTAAGTTGTTTATTATTAGAGATTATTGATTAATTATTTGTTGAAATTACCTTGAATTCACTATTTTCAACATGTGTTGAATTTTCCGAATATTTCGTCTATACATTGTAATAAAAATTATAGACAATATCACTTAGTCTAAAGAAAAACAAAGTAAACTATTTGAGGAATAAAAATTTCAATTTTAATATATACTTTGTCACGACGAGGTAATGGATGTTTATCTTGATCAGCAAAATCAAAATCTTTTGACCGTCCTTTAGATTTCTGCTTTCCGTTTTTAGATTCTCTTGTTTTAGATTTAGCACGTGTTTCACGTTGTTGTGATGGTGATTCTTCAACATTAGTAGTTATTAACGGTTCTCTATTTCTAGACTTGGCACGTCCGCGCTGTTGTTCTTCAATGCTATTTATTAATGGTTCTTTAGCTTTAGATTTGGCACGTCCGCGTTGTTGTTCTTCAACGCTAGTTATTAATGGTTCTCTAGTTCTAGACTTGCCACGTCCGCGTTGTTGTTCTTCAACGCTAGTTATTAATGGTTCTCTAGTTCTAGACTTGCCACGTCCGCGTTGTTGTTGTTCTTCAACATTCGTTATTAATGGTTCTCTAGCTCTAGATTTTGCACGTCCGCGTTGTTGTTCTTCAGCGGTCTTTGTTGTTGTTGTAGTTGTTTCTCTAAGTGGTCTAGATTTAGTACGGCCACGTTCATCCATCGTAGTTTCCTTTGGTCTAGTTGACCTTTCATGGCCTCTTTGGTCTTCATGGTTGTTGCTGTTGTCGTTGTTGTTATTTGTTGTTGTTGTAACATTAATGATATTTCTAGCTTTTTCAATATCATTGGATAATCTTTTTGTACGATGATGATTATAAACAGCATTATTATTAGGTTCTTTTTGTTTCTTACTAGTGCTAATGACATTGTTACTAGGATTGATATTATCAATTGATCTGCGGTGTCTAACAATGTTGGTAGTACTAGTGTTTATATCTTCATTAATATTTTTATCAATTGATCTGCGACGACTAATAGTATTTTTATTTTCATTAATATTTTTATCAATTGATCTGCGATGTCTAATGGTATTGTTAGTGTTGGTAATAGTAGTACTATTATTATTTTCGTCAGAAATAAGTTTATATTTTGAACTTGCAGCAACAACATTATTATTATTGGTGTTTCTTTCATCAATATTATTTAATTCCTCGATTGAAGAATCACTCATTCTTCTTTGTCTTTGTTGTGAACTGTGCTGATGATTATGAGACTTTGTATGACGATGATAAAGTTGTTGTTTTAAATCTTCATTTGATCTTCTATTAATTGAATTATCTTTGTTGCCACTCCTATTAGTAGCAAGAGTAGCAATATCTTTAGTGTCATGTGAAGAGGACAAAGTGGTTGTAGTTGCGGTAGTAGTTGATGATGATTTCTCAGTTCTATTACTATTAATATTAATGTTGCCGCTAATATTGTCATTATTATTACTAATGATATTACTACTATTATTAATATCTTCTGGTTTTATTTTTACATCCACTTTTTGAAATGTTAAAGAAGTTGCAGATGATGGTAATGGTGGCAATGGTGGAGGCAATGTTGACAAAGATGATAAAGGAATTTTTTTTTTCTTGGATGATAATGATTTACCATTTAATCTATGACCAGTTGTAGGAGTTCTGCGTATTTTCTTTCCTGTTGTAGTAGCGGTGGTAGTTGCTGTTACTGTCTCTTGTGATAATGATATTGGTGATTGTGATTGTGATATTGGTGATTGCGATGGTAATGGTGATAATGGTGATGATGGTGATGGTGATGGTGATGGTGATGATGATGATGATGATGATGATGCAATTTGTGATGATGATGATGCTATGGGTACTGATTGCAATGATGTTGATGATAATGCAGATGTAGATATAGATACAGATGATTTTAAAAAAGATGATGATGATGATTTTTTCAAAATTGGTGTTGCAAATAATAATGAAGAAGAAGAAGGTGCAGAGGAAGGAGAAGATGCAATTGTAGTTTTTAATATAAGGTCATTTAAATCATTTAAATTATTCAAATTATTCAAATTAGATCTTGAAATAGATGATGATTTATTATTTGTTGTTGATGATGATGGCGTTAACAATAATAAGTCATCATCATCACTGCTACTATCGCTACCACTACTAGTGGTTGAACCTTCACTGTCATCATCACTACTACTTTCATCAAGCCATCCTACAGAAGAAATTGGAGAATGTGAATTAAACATTTCTGGAATAGGTGATAGACGTGACAATAATACGGAGGGGGCGGAGTGGTCTATTAAAGATGATAACGTTGGTGAAGATGACGAGGACGGTGAATTATTATTATTAGATGTAGCACTCTTGTTAGCAGGCAATTCTATTGTTAAGCCATTGATTTGTAAAGGCTTAGAACTTATAGGTGATAAAGGTGGTAATAATGTATGATCATCTTTATTATTACTAATGGAAGTGGATAATTTTAATGACAATATAGTAGAAGTTGAAGGCGAAGATGCAGGCGTTGTTAAAGATGTTGCAGTCGAAGGAGTTGATGATCCTGATGACGATGATGATAATGTTGATGATGATGATGAATGAGTGGATGATGATGAATGAGTGGATGATGATGAAGAATGATAAATTTGATTGTCGTTATTGCTATTATTATTAATGCTACTATTGTTTAACAATGAATTAGATTTTGATCTTGATTGTCGAACAAATAATTGTTGGGATGATAGATTCGATAAAGAATTATTCGAGGAAAAACTAGGCGAATGATGATTCTTTTTTAAACTTGAACCCATTCTATTAATTTCTTCTTGAATTGCTTCAATTGAAAATTCGTCTTTGTTGTTATTAACATTATTGTCATTATCATAATTATCATCATTAATTATATTATCATGAAGTTCAAGGTCCTAAATAAATAATTGATTGATTGATTGATTAATTTAATTACAATGATTAATAGAAACATATTATATAGTAAAACCGAGCACTTCATTACTAGTACTAATTAGTACCTTTGTAAGTTCTTCGACCTCTAGCTCTAATTGTCCAAAAAGTAAATCCAGATTACTTGTCATATTGTAAATAAATTATGACAATTAATTAGCGAGTGAAAGAAGGTAAAAAAAATTGTAAAATTTGTTTTTTAATTTTTGTAAAAGGGAATGAATTAATTGTTTTTTTCAAAAAATATAAATAGGAGCGAAAAAGGAATACAAATTAATTTATTAAAAAATATTATCTTTTTATGTAATTAAAAATATCAATCTTTTTATTTACGTAATTAAAAATTATTTTTATTTATTTGTTTATTCCTTGTAAAATAAACAAATGAACAAAATAGTAAAAAAAAGTCTCTTTCCAAAATTTCCGCACACATTTTATAAATACTTTTTTTTTTAAACAATTATTTTAATTATTTCTAATAATAATAATGTTACAAAAAATGAATTTCTCGAGTTTGTAACACAAGGATATTGTTTAATTGCTCCGTTAACAGCCGTTAATCATAGTTATCAAGTTCATACACATAAATTGTAATTTTAGCGATAGGATGATTTCAATGATCAAAATCACAAGTCATCATATAAAAATTATTTAAATATATCGGTTTTTTTTTTTTTATCCGTAACCTATTTACAAATTTTTATTGAGAAAGGAGGAATAAAAAAATTTTGAAAATTAAAGACAATTTTATAATAAAAATTAAGAAAATATAATAAAAAATTTCTAATAAAAAAATTTTTTTCTTCCTTTCTCTAATTCTAAATATTTGTTATTGATTGCTTGCTACTTTTTTACTTGACTATTATATTAATAATATAATATTAATAATGAAATAAATGAAATAAGAAAACGGACACAAATTATTTATATAATATATATAATATTGAATTTTTTGTTTGCAAAATATATATATATAAGTTAATATATATGATATATATATACAAAAACATGAAATATTAAAAAAGCGAAATAAAAATATATATAATGTATGATATTATAATATATTAATAATAAATTTTTTAGCAAATAGACATAAAATTTTTTGTTGTGATGGGATATTATATTTTGAATTGTTTAGTAACGAGAATAACCACCGCCGCCGCCACTTCCACCATAACCACCGCCGCCGCCACCACGTCCACGACCGCCACCACGTCCACCACGACCGCCGCCGCCGTAACCACCGCCGCCGTAACCACCACCACCACCGCCGTAACCGCCGCCGCCGCCACCATAACCGCCGCCGCCGCCACCACCTCTTGAATTAGAACGTTCAGAAGCACGATCAACTAAATGTAAAAAATGATTTATTATATATATATATATTAGTTAGATTGGAATGAACTAAAATATTTAATAATTTTTGAATTTTGTATTTACCCTTGATAGTACGACCATCGAATTCCTTTTCATTTAAATTTCTGATTGCTAGTTCAGCTTCTTCTTCCCTGTTATTTATTATTAATTATTAACATTGGATCAGAGAAATTTATAAATGAAATCAGCAATAAAAAAAAATCAAGAAATAAAATAATTACTTGTAATAAGTAACAAATCCAAATCCACGACTACGTCCTATTTATTTGTTGAAGATTGATTTTAGGAGTTGAAATAGGATAGGAGAGATAATTGTTGAAGAATTGTTGAATGGATGGAAAGAACACGAACACCATATGAATGACAAACCGCCACAAGTAAGACACGAACATAAATATATATATATAATATCGACCAGGAGAGAACGAGAGAACGAGAGAGAAGGGATGGGATTGGAATTTAAAAGGAATAAAAGTAAAGGAGAATCGGGAAGGAGAATGATGGTGAATTGAAAAAAAGGTTCAAAATAGAAAACGAGAGAAGAAATGTAAAGAGTAACACACATTAAATGAAATATGGAATGAATGGGTAAATGTAGTGAGAAATGTCGGGAATTGTTTGGTATTGGGTATGTATTGTAGGAATAAGGAAGAAGATTGAATTATATTCGGACCACACGCGTATAATTTTATATTATATATATATATTTTTTTTTTACACACAAATCATTCATTTTTTAATTAATTATTTTTTTAAAAAGACAAAATTTTCAATCCATCTATTATCAATCATTCGGTGGGAAATTGTAATAACCTGTTCGAACGATAGATGATAGTGGGAGGAGAAGAAGAGGAGGGAAGAAAAAGAGGGAGAAAGAGCACACAAACACAATATATATATATTTATATATAACACACACACACACACACACACGAGGTATAGAGGAGTGGTGGAAAGAAGAAGAATAAAAATATGGTTGTTAGCATATCCTTAAATATTTTCTCAAAGAGAAATAAATCTTTCCTAAACATAGCTTGGAAAAAATTCTGTCTCACGAAAATAAAAAGGATGCTCGCTCCCAGAAAATAAAAAAAAAAATAGAGAATAGAAGAAAGAAGGAATTTGAAAGGGTGGAGAAAATCATAACGGAAAAAAAACATTTATTTCTTTCCACATTTATAATTTTCTCTAGTTGTAATTGTGTTCAAGTAAAATTCTATTCTATCTATATAACTAATAATTATTGACTAAAAAACTAACCATTTTCACGATCACGAATGACTACAGCATCTTCAACTGTCCCATATTCTTCGAATTTACTTTTGAGAGCACGGTCATCAGTATCCCAAGATAGACCTCCAACAAAGAGTTTTACAGACATTATTATTAATATATTATATATAGGTAGATTATTATTAAAAGATAATTATTATTTTTATAAGAAAATAATAATTATTTTTTTTTTTTTTTGGAAAAGATGTTTTTTGTTGGGGGGTTTAATAAATTTTTCGTTATATTTATATGTATTTATTGCAAAGAAAAAATTTTTTTATCTGTGGAAAAATCAGGAAATCCTTGAAAAAAATTTTAAAATGGGGATAGTCCCTAAATAAAAACAATCATAATGATCAATTATTCATTAAAAATAATTGGGGACTTTTTTAGCCTTACAATTTAATTATTATTTCTCATTATTCATAATAATTTACTAATATTTTTTCCGTCATTAAAAAATATGTACAACAATATCAATTGTTACGAGTTTCTGGATATAATCAGGAAATTTCAAGAAATGATTACAAATAATTACGTATGCAGTGTTCAGTGACGAACTTAACACGACATTTTTTTTTTAATATATATAAAAAAAACCTCAGCCTAATCTTATTATTATCACGCTTATATGATAACTAGGGCGAAGAAATTTATAGGGTATGAACATTTTGGGGAGAAAGGCGAATTATCAAAAGATAGATAAGATAAAAAAAAGAGATTTATATAATATTATCACGAGAAAAATGGAAAGTAAAAAAATGTGAGACACTTATTTTTTTTCCGTTAAGTTTATTTCTTGTTTCAGTTACAATTGTTTTTCTGTAATAATAAGTGCCATTGATTCTTATTTGGACATCAAGTATGGTTGGGGGTTGTACACAAGTAAACTCGATTAGTCAAGCACTTTAAACTTTGTATAACTTTAGATAAATTTTAAAGTTTCATGCATGTCGCAGGTAGAGAGATTTATTATTATTGGATAAAAAATTTTTTTAGAGTAATAAGGAGAGATTAAGTTTTCGTGATAGGGGTGGAGATTGTTGGGGTGGGCGATATATTTTATAATAATGTGGGGAGTTCTCCAGCAAAAGGTATATATACCTATATACCTTCCTTAAATTTTTTTGAGTAACAACCCTGCAAAATACGTTACACATGTTTTTGTCTCATTTTTTGTTAAATAAACAGATACTGATTTTTTCACCAGTTAGTCCTTATAATAAATATATTATGCAAAAAACTCAATTTTGGTCAGAGGGGCGCTTTTTGCTGGAGAACCCCATGTGAATTTATTAGTGTAATTTCTCACTCACCCTGCTAATTATTTGATTTTTGCGGGATCCCGAGAAGTTAATTCGACGTGTTACAAGCATAACGTTTTATCGACAAAACAAATCAAGGTAAGTCAAATATATTATTATTAATAATAAACAAATCATGAAACCATAGATAAATAAATTATATATTATCTTAAAGCTAATTAATTGTTACTCGCACCAAAAACAAAAACAATCGGCTCGATTGATGAACTGATTATAACCACGTATAATAAATAAACTGATAATGATAATAATCGCGTGGTTATAACGTAATGTCTCACAAATGTTATTAATCATTATCATCATCATTATTTATTTGGATGTAATGTTACAAAATATTATATATAAATACGTATTCATCATAATTATCAGAGATCATGATAGTTAATTAATGTCTCTTTACTTGTTTTAATTTAACATTGACATATGTGTGTGTGTAAATATATGTGTGTAAGTAAATATATGTATGCGAGTGGAAAATTTTTATTTTTAATATTCTCCGAATGCTTTTAATTTATGTGTTTACACCTTTCTCACAATTTTATTGACTCGTTCACTTCTTTTCATTTTTAGATTTCTTAAATAATTCGTTCGTCACACTTTTGTTTTTTAATTCGTACTAAATCTTGCTGATTGGTTGGTCGATGTTTTTTTAATTTTTTTAACTGGTATATATTAATTAAAAATTAAATGAATGATTTTCTGTGTTTGTGTAACGAGCATTGTAGTAGTTTAATTTCCGACGATAATGACATATTAAAAATAAAAATAAAAATAATGATGAATTAGTGTTTTTAATATAGATTATATTTTTAATTTCCTGAGTAGTTTATGATTGATTGGTGTTTTATTATCATAATTTGTAATGTTGTTGTTATTATTATTACGCTATTTATTTACGATTTATTTATTTATTTTATTTACAGAATTTTTTAGATGATCACGTGATCTCACAAAATTGACAATTAAAATTAATTAATTCGTTGTTTTAATTAATATGTTTTTCTTAATTTTTTTTTTTTCAAAAATTTGTTTCGGTTTCAGAACACATTTTCTTAACGAAAAATAAACTTCACCAAAATAAGAAAAGAATCGACTAATACTGCTAATATTATATTAATTAATATTAGTATTTTTTATTTATAAATGTTTTATTATTGTTATCTTTATTTCATTAATCCAAAATCCAAAACTTCTAAATAACAATCACAACAATAATAATAACAATAACAATAAGATTAAAAAGAATAATCAGTTCAGCAGTCGGTCAATAATTTTAAATAATTAAATAATTAATTCCTCTTTTTTTTTATTTTCTAATAAAATAAATAATAAATTAATAAAATTGGTTTTTATTTAGAAAAAAAAAAAAGAAAGCAAACATCCTTCCTTTCCTCACATCATATTCTTATTCCCTTTCTCTCCTTTCCTCTCTCCCTCTTCTTCTCTATTCCTCTCTTCCGTAATTTAATTAATTATATTTTTTTCCTTAAAAAAAATCCCTACCAATTATTAAGTATAACAAGATCTAAGTATAAAAGAATTTAAAAATATATAACAGTAATAGTAATAGTAATAGCAATAGCAATAATTCTGGAAACAAAGATTAATAATGAGTTCTTCTGCATTATTTGTACGAGCATTATACGATTTCAACTCGACAGATTCATCAAGTCTTTCTTTCAAAAAAAATGATATTATTCAAGTTTTGACTCAATCAGAAACTGGTTGGTGGGATGGTTTGTGTGGAGGTAAACGTGGTTGGTTTCCTAGCAACTATGTTGCTGTTTTAGACGAGGATGATGATGTTATGTTAGATGATGATGATGATAATGATGATGATAAGGTAAGATATTTGCCATGATAAACAATCCCGATTATAAATATCGTCCAAAACGTGATAGAGAACTCTCTCTCTCATAATTTGATTAGTATCACATGATTAATTATATTTTTTTCGTACGACAATATCCATTCATACTTAAACATTCACCCACATACTCGTAAATTTACAGTTGTCAGATTGGATTCTTCAACATACACCAGATGGTGAATTATTTTATTATAATACAAAAACTGGTGATTCATCTTGGGACTTACCAATAGATGATGGTTTCCTAAGCACTTCATCTCCACAACAATCATTCCCTGAACATGATTCCCCTTTCTTAGTCAACAATTCTGATAACAATTCGCGAAGAAATTCGAATGACATTAATGGTAATAGTAATAGTAATAATAATAACGATCTAAACAACAAAGACAACGATGACGATAAAGTCACATTTAGCGGATCCACTACTAATACTAACAATACTAATACTGATGTATCTGCAATTGGTGTCAATGGTCACAAACCATTACCTAAAAATTGGATACATCAACCTACAGATAATGGTAGTACTTATTACTACTTGAATGAGGTAACAAGAGAAATCAGGTGGACCCATCCTGGTAGAGATAGTATTGCTACCTCCAGTAATAACAATTTCACATCCGATGATGACGATGATGATACTGATGATGATGATGATGACACTGATGATGATGATTATGATTATGATATCAAGGATGAAGTAATTAATAGAATAAATGGAAGAAGTAATATAGTAATCGATGAAGAAGATGAAGATACTGAAGAAGATACTGAAGAAGATACTGATGACGATACTACTGATAAAAGTTTAAATGTAATAAAAGAAGAAAATGACGAACGGTATATTATTAATAATCACGTTGAAAAAACAGCAAAAATGAAAGAAAATATTGATGATGGGGAGGAATCTGCTGATAAAGAAAGTATTTCTAGTTCGAGATATAGTATAGATAGTACAGTTACAACTGATACCATTGATCAAAAACAAGAACAACAACGAGAACGACAAGAAGAAGAGAAAATTAATAATGTTCATCATCATGATGAAAAGGTTTGCAATTTAATCATATAAGATTTACATATATTTTATGATTAATTAATAATTCATTCTATTAATTATTTAGCCTCCTGAGAGTTGGATAAACACAACAAATATATCAGCTGGGGATTATTATAATCATATGGATGTTGAAGCAAATTCTGTAATTATTATTTATCCATTTCAATATCAATCAATGCTTTCCAAAATTAAAATTTTTATATTTATTTTTTTATTTTTTTTATAAAGAATAATAAAGATGATGCTAAAGCAGTAGTAGTAACAGATGATCATCATCTCTTTCAACCTTCAATCGATCAAAATTACCAATCATCAATTCCATCTTACAATAATTATAATAATAGTACAAATAATCAGTTACAACTTCATTTACAACAACAACAACAACTTACCTGGCAATCTTTGACAAATAGTATAACACTAGCTATACATAGTTTAAATCTAGCCGTAAAGCAAAACGAAAAGCATCTATACAACTCATCTACAGAATCAATAGTTGAAAATGTTCGTATAATGTTGTACGCCTCGGGCACAATTCAAAAAGATTCAAGAATATTTAGAGAAAATCTACCATTAAAAACCTATCATAATCAATTAGTGACCGCAGTTAGTAGATTGGTAATCTCAACAAAAGCGGCTGTTAATACTGCCCCCAATACTTGGCAATCGCCCGAGACTATGTTAGAAAAAATAAATGATGTATATCATGCTATACAACAATATATTCAAGAAGCTGAAAATACTGTCAAGATTAAAAGGATTAATCCTAAAATTTTGAAAAATTCCAGAGTTGGCGGTGGCTGGCGTGGTAACAATATTTTATCATCAGCGTCTTCTTCACCACCTGCATCTCCTATATCAAGTAATTTTTCTCCAAATGCAAATAATAGTAATAGTAATAGTAATAATAACGAGTATAGTAATGTTAATATTAATAATAATGATAATCAACACAATCATCAAAATAATAATGGTGATGGGAATGGTAATGGTCATAATAATTATTCTTATACAGCATCATCACTACCACAGCGTAGAATTTCTCCCTCATTATCATTGACTCTGGATGTTCTTCTCTCACTAGACAATGTTTCTCGTAACATAACAAAATATTTACATGTATTAATTTTGAACATTAAAAAATCATTATTGGGCACTACTATATCACCATCATCACCACCAACCTCTACACCAACATCACCAACATCACCATTACTACCAGCATCGCCATCATCACCGCCATTTAGACATCCTTCTTCTTCAACATCTTTAACTCCACAACTTGTAAATTCAATTCGTCAAATAGTTTCACAAATTGGTCAATTTCTTTATTATGTCGAGGATCTTGATTTACGCGAGTTATCAGAAAAAAATTATCACGACTCCCTAAACGATTTTAAAGTTTCAAAACAGACTTTGTATAATAGTATAGCCAATCTCGCTATCTTTACTCAATCTGCTGCCAATCCATTATCCTTACCATTATTAAATAATCCATTAAAACAAGTATTGGATTATGCCATTGTAGTTGAGAAATCGGTAAATAATGTTATTATATCAATTAAGTTTTTGGTGGAAGAAAGTGAAATGTTCGATTTTAAATCTCAACCTCCTCAATTACCACAACCTCAATTACCGCCTCCTCAAGTACCACCTCCTTCACAACACCAATTTAATGAACAACAACAATCATATCATCAACAAAATCAACTTCCATTGCAACAACACCAACCAATGTCCTTCTCGCCACCTTCACTACCACCACTACCACCACCGCCACCACATCATAATCATTTTAATAGTCAAATTCATCCTTCTTCACCATCTTTCGTACTTCCACAACCACAATCATCATACTCTCAACAAATTCATCCATATCAACCAATTCAATCTTATCAACCTCTTCCATTACATTTTGCTCGTAGACGTAGTAGTGCACCAGATGCCCCTCCTACTAAACGTCGAGTTCCTCACAATTTTGTTCCAACAATTAATACAACGATAAACAATAACGTCAACAATTACCAAATTAATGAAGATCCTTCATCTGCTTCTTCATTAATGATGGATGATGATATTTCACGCGAATCTGATAGCCCGTCATTTGCTTTATCTACCACGTCCACAATAAACTCATCATACTCAATCCCAACAACTGCAATTTCATCATCAACAACGAGTTTGCTGCCTGTTCCAGAAGATGAAATAATGAATACTACCACTACCACCACCACCACCAATAATACATCATCATCACCAAGATCACCAACATCAACAACCAATACATCATCAATAATATCAACATCAACAGTTATTACTACTGATTCAACAACCTCCACATTAATTGGCGGTGGTGACAATTTCAACGAGAATGATGATACAGCAATACCAAAATCTCCTGTTTCAGAAAATCCTTCAATAATTACTACTACATCACTTGGTTCTAGAACCTTTTCAAGTTTCACTAGTCGTCTTCGATCAAATAGTTCTGTCTCTACATCAAATACTGCTTATGACAATTCGTCGAATATATCACTGCCATCTTCTTCTACTTCGTCATTACAAACACCAACGATAAAAACACCTGCAAATTCTAACGAACAATCGCCACCATTACCTGATGATCCAAAACCGCTACATGAAAATAATCCCCCTGGCGAAGAAGTATTGCAATCATCATCTAATCAACCACCAACATCCACCTCCACCGTTCCCACCTCACCGCCACCATCCAATAATAATAAACAAGAAGAAAAGTTATGGTTTTTAGATTACGATTATCGTGAGATAGACATAATTTTTATTAATGAAAGTAAAACGACGGTAAAAGGCGGAACACTTGATGCATTGATAGAACGATTAACAATGCACGATCTACTAGATTCGAATTTTAATGCCACCTTCCTGCTAACATATCGATCATTTTGTGATTCTGATACATTTCTCGAGAAATTAATAGATAGATTTATTATCAAACCGCCGGAAGGAATGACACCAAGTGAGAAAGAGATATGGCAAGAGAAGAAACAGACACCGATCAGGTTGAGAGTTCTTAGCATAATGAAAAGTTGGTTGGAGCATTATTATATGGATGATCAAGATAGTCATTGTTTGACTAGAATGAAAGAGTTTGCTAGTACGGTGATGAGTGAGCATATGTCGTTTGCGTCTGTGGGTCTTATCAAGATAATTGAGAAACGACAATTTCAGCCCGGTGCAATATTTCGTGAATTGATCAATACGAGCCCTATCCTACCACCACAACCTATCTTGCCAAGAAATTTAAGAAGAATTAAATTTTTGGATTTGAATCCTTTGGAAATTGCAAGGCAGTTGACTATTATCGAAAGTAGGTTGTATAATAAAATAAGACCTGTTGAGTGTTTAAATAAGGCTTGGAGTAAAGAGGAAGGCGGTGAGATTGCTGCAAATATTAAAGCTATGATTGTTAATAGTAATCAGGTAATCATTATAATCTATATAATGTGTATATAAGTAATAATAATAATAACAACAACGACAACAATAACAATAACAATATATGAATTTTATCTGTTTTTTATAGATAACAGGATGGGTAGCGGAAATGATACTGAATAATCCAGATATAAGAAGACGATGTGCATTAATAAAACATTTTGTGGCGGTGGCAGATAAATGCTTACTATTGAATAATTTCAATTCACTTACCGCAATCATATCAGGATTAAATAGTGCTCCAATTCATCGATTGAGAAGAACATGGGAAACTGCTAGTCAGAAAACGATCACGTTGTTAGAAGGTTTAAATAGAGTCATGAATTCTACAAAAAACTTTTTTGCATATCGTGAAACTTTACATAGTGTCAACCCGCCTTGTGTACCGTTTTTAGGTTTGATCTATTATTATTTTCTTTTATTGGCGAATTTTACATTTTGTATTAATTATATTTGAATGTTTATCTCTCTAAAAAAATATATCAATAGGTGTATATTTAACAGATTTAACATTTATTGAAGACGGCAATCCCAATATACTTAAAAAACAAACAAATATAATCAATTTTTCAAAAAGAATGAAAACAGCAGAGGTTATTAGAGAAATTCAACAATATCAATCAGTTCCTTATAATTTAACCTCTGTTCAAGAAATACAAGTTTTCATAGAGACTAACTTAAAAGATAGTGATGATGTAGCTAATTTATATGATAAAAGTTTAGCTTTGGAACCAAGGTAATTATTTAATTATTTAATTATTTGTATATACATATGAAAATATTTTTATTGATTATTTTATTAATTTAATAACAGGGAAAGAGAAGATGAAAAAATTGCTAGATTATTACAAGAATCTGGTTTCTTATAAATTTACTTATTTATTTCAAACCATCCCAAAAAATTTGTTTTTCTTTACATTTTGTTTTGGGCAAATTTATCAAATTTATGCTTAATTTATATAATATTATAATTATAATTATAATATTTATTTATTTGTTGTATTTTAATTTATGATTTCTTTTTACTGTTACACACTTTTATGTTAATTTTCCGTTTCCGTTTTCGTTTTCGTCACCTTTTTATTTTTATATATACATAATATATAAATAATATATATAAAATAGAAAGAAAAAAATAATATGTAATTAAATAAATATATATATGTGATTAAAAAAAAATTTTTTTTGTTACTATATAATTAGACTTTTCAATAAATTTAATATATACCGCGCAATTATTAGTTTTAAAAAACAAAACTATAAATTTTATTTGCTAATGATTTATAAAGAATATATCTCTCAAGCAGTCAAGATTTTTTAAAAATCCCTCCTTGAAAGCTCGCGGATCACGTACAATTTTTATTTCACCATTTCCCTAGATAAATTATTTTTTAAACTTCTTGATCTTGGTCGTTTTGTTTGACTGCATGATTAAACGAAGGTTACTTACTGCGAAAATAATAGTAACAATAGTAATAACAGAAAAGCAACTTTACCGCTAAAATATCAAACGATACCATTTACCAAGGTTCATTATGCCACAAAACTTCAAGAATATATAATATATGGACAAGTAACAAGATTCCACTTTCATAATTTTTTGTAGGAAAATGAAGTTTTACAATTCAATTTTCAGTAATAAAGACAATGGTATACAAAAAAAAAATTTAAACCCTTTCAATTCTGCTTTTACATTTTTGCAAGTAAAACAAATTATAAAAAAATTGTGTTTTAATAAAGATCTACCACAATAAGGTGGGAAGGAGGATATTTATTGGTGTGTGTATATTGTATCTCACTCTCGTTACAACCTTTCTATAATGAACATTGTGCTATAACGAACTTTCCTTTTGTCTCGACTCATTTTTTTTTATCTTGCATATTAACACAAAAAACACATATAGAGACAAAAGGTTGTTACAAGGGAGTGAACTGCAACAACTATGGTGAATATTCGAGAAGCCAGCCATTAAATCTAGCATTATTTATTAATTTTGGTGTCAGATTTATTATACTTTTACTTTTTCAGCTTGACTTTACGGTTCCAATATTAATATTGCTTGATCCATGCCCTTTGAGAAAATAGAAAAAAACACACTTGCACTCCAATGCAATTACAGAGCTCTCTTGACCACACTGAAAGCTGTCAATATACTTGTTAAGTTTTCCGGATAATTGGAATAAATAAAATTACATGTTAATATTAATATTAACCCATACTCTTCTTTCGGTGTTGCTTAATTTCTTCGAAAGATTCAGCACTACCTGTTCAAAACATCAACGTATAAAAAAGAAAATTAAACAAAGACATGAGAAATGGAAGAAAAGCGGTGTTTAACTATCTACTAGTACTAATAATATTTAATATTTGAATTATAATTTCACTTTTATTAGCTGGTAAAATTACAAGCCAACACTATCAGTATGTATGCGTTTATCTATCCACGCGGATTTATATAGAATAAATTATGTATTTAGTATGGAGACGGAATATGGAACCTGTGTATCAAATACAAGGCGAACGTCTATTGTAGTACTATCGGCGTTTTTACCTTGTCCACACCCCCAATAACATAATTCAGAATATTCCTACAAATAATAAATACATACATAGCAAATGTTTTCTTGGAGATGAAGATTTGATTTTTCCTAAAGCAAGCTTGCCCTTTATAAGTTGCAACAATTAATGCTACTGTTTAAAAGTGCTAATTGATATTGCAGAAAAAGGTAATAAATAATCCTACTCTATTGCAAGCTTGGTAGAATACGATGAATCAATCATCGCTAATTATCATTCATATAAACAAAATGGGCACAAAAAAATTTGCTTTGCTGTATATAAATTACGTGTCATGAACAGCATCAACAATATATTTTGAAACCTCTCTAGATTTTAAGGGATAACAAAAAATGTACAATATATTATTATTCAACACATTATTAAAAAAAAAAATTAAATTAATTAATTAAAAGTAGATTTTCATGCATTTCTAAAATATTAAATTCATATACCCAATCTAAAATATATAAATAAAAAAGTGTGTATTTTTATAAACAAACTATTTTTTCTAGTTTATATTTATTTATCTAGAGTTATCCTCATTTGCAAATTCCGTATAATTTCTAATATGACGCGAACGTCGATGTGTGGCTCTTTGATATTTATATGTGAGACTTACAATATCCTAAATAATGGTAATATTAAAATCATTATATATTAATTTTAATTTACAAAATAAAAATAAACAGATCAATCAACCAATCAGCCAATACCTTTAAAACAATAAACAAACACCCTCCAAGTATATTACGATGAAATGCATCGGGTATTCGTGAACGAATGAATGAGAATTTACCTAACAAACTATATGAAATTATATAAAGAATCCTTTTAATGAATTTTTTAAGAACATTTTCAATGAAAATAAATCAATAATTCAATTAATTTACCCTCCAACAATTGCTGAAATAACTGTTTAATTTATAAATAAAAATGTTAAATGTATATGTATGTATTATATATATTGATTAATTTAACATTTTTGTTTGATAAGACTTACATGGCAAACATAAAGCACCAACAATTTTTCTACCCGCGTAATTTCTATCTAAACGATCTAACATATCTTGATCATTTCTACGTTGTATATTGTTACCATTACCGATTTCTCCTCCAGTTTCATTAACATTATCTGTTAAAACAATATATGGCTCAAGTTGTCTTCTCCAATTTATCTCCATCATACCAAATAGCTGTTGATATGTCCAATTGTATATAATTCTAATCCATGGTAAAAGTGAAATTGTAAGGGATGGATTTGGTGGTATTGTCATTCTTAGATGATCCATTCTAACCAAAAACATTGGAATAAGCGGCATAACTGGGTCTGCAATGCGAGCTCTTGAAAAGATTAATAACATTGGTATTAATGGAAGAGATATCTATAAACATTATCGTGTAATTATTATTGTTATTATTATCATCATTTAAACAATGTGAAAATAGGTATAAAATAAAATTAAGTTGTTTTATATTACATAAGTTCTCCAATTCCAAGGTTCCTCCAAAAAACGCTGACCATCTTCAAGACCAAGCATTGTTACCATTGCATACGCTCTAAAAAAAAATTGTTTTTTTTAGTTGTATAAAAAAATATTGTATATAATATAATACATTATTGTTTGAATATTAAATTTACCCATAATGAACATTTGTTACAACTATTGCAAAAGTCACTCCAAAAATAGTAAAGTATTGAATTGACGATTGAATTGAATTGTCTATAACTGACATTACTTTGAATAAAAGAGAAGGATTTTCATAGTAACGATATAGTGTTTTACATTGTGGACATCTAACCTAAATAACATATATATATATATATATATATATACATATATTTTTAAGAAAAGGTCATAAAATTTATGATTAAATATTTAGGTAGGGAAAAGTGTATATATATATATACCTTCCTAAGAGCCGCACTTCTTTGTTTTTCATTAATCCAATTCAACAAACATTCTTCATGACATATTAAAGAGCATTTACAAGGTTTAACCCATTTTCCAACACTGTCATTCTCCTCTCCGTAACAAATCCAACATCTTTTATCTTCAACACTTTGAGAATTTGGTTGTAGATTTGATGAACTTGTTGTTGATGTAACATTATTAATATTGACATTTTCTCCATTATTAAGAAGAATTCCTTCTCTGGTAGCACGATTTTCCGCTCTTAGAATTCTACGACTTTCTCTAATAGCACGTTGAGTTTCCCTAGGAACTGAAAAATCTTCCGTCACAACATTTTGACCTTCTCTAAAAAAGGGATAGTCTTCTCTTATTATAGCAGGCTGAACTTCTCTACGAGAAGGAGCAGGAGCAAGAGGAGTAGGAGTAGGAGTAGGAGTAGGAGAGTGAGGACTTTCTCTTACAACAGGTTGTTGTTGATAATTAATCAATGACATTAGATTGGTGTGTTGTTGGAAAGGGGGATTTTCTGGTATTTGATCGTTGTTAGTAGTAGCAGGGTTGTAACCAGGAGGAAATTCTGGGAAATGACTAGCTCTGTCAAATAGATCAGTGGTATTGGTATTGGTTCTTGAATGTTCTTCTGGTTGAGTTTGATCATCATTAGTTAGCTCATTCCGTTGATTTGTATATTGAAAAACTGGATTATGACTAAAAGGAGCTGCCATTTCTGACTATATTTATGCTACAATATATATATATATTAGTTATAGTATTAAAAGGAAAAAAAAGTCATACTAAACTTTGGAAACAATACTACATTTTCAAAGAAAAATTTTTTTTGCAAGTTGAAAATTGAAAATACTCCTAGTTTATTTAAAGCAACAACAAGCTGAAAAATAAAGAAAATAAAGGAAAGTTTTTTAAGAGACACTTTTGTTTTAATTTTTGTAAATAGGAATATATTTTTTTTTTATCAAAAAAAATCATTGTATTTATTATATAATATGGGGCCAAACAATTTTGAACCCTGTAGATCTACCAAATAAAAAGTTTTACTATATATTATAATTAATATATTTACTTATATATTTGATTTTTCACGAGATCTTTTTCAAGTATAACTTATTCCACACTCTTGTCAAATTCCTCTCAAATATTATCAAATCACATTTTTTGTTGGAGGAATGTGCTTATGGATCAAAAATTTGGTTATATTTGGAATATCCTTCTCATGATTTTTTCTCTTCACCAAACCCATCTCTTTGTAATATGAAGGGAGGGAGGGAGATCTTTTGATTTTTTATGTAGGGAATTTCGCCCAAGGCTGAAGAATCAAGCTAGAGTTTGGCAATTGGACATTTAAATTACCAAAAATAGTATCTTGTACATTGGCACA